TTTCTTCTTTCACTAATTGAAGTTCAAGCATAAAGCCACCCACAAGGATTTCATCTTGCAGGGGCAGCGGTCAGAAAAAAAGACGTATTCATCTTTCATTCATTTGGGACTACCAAGGTTCCAATTTATTCATGCATAACCTCAGCTTATCCAGGTAAATCAGTCTTTTTGAGCACTGTTTCTCATTAGCATGACACTGGAGGAAAAGAGTGGACCACTGTAGATCATTTCCATACAGCAAAATTGCATCTTGTATTCAAACACCCACACTTGAACATAAAGGATGAGGTACAGATGGTGTGTGTCCAAAATGTAAATAATCTCCTTGTTGCTGAACCAGTGTCCTTGCTGAAAACCTTATCATGTAAAAGCCGCACAGCCGTTCTTTTCTCAATTCACCTCTTTTCTTCCTCTTTCATCTTGCATATTTTACACCATAGTTTATGCCTGAGATATCCCTGTGTGTATGTACAAATAAAATTTAGCATTTTAGAAAGATTTAAACTGATGTCTACAGTCACTCATTATATCACACAAGAGGGGCAGAGACGTATAGTGTTACCCAGCTGCAATCTCTTTGACCAATTACCCACGAATAACAATGACTAGAGACTATATTCTGGAAAAGCTACGGTACATTTTACTGCTCCTTTTTGACACTGAGGTGAAAACATTACTTTCTACTGGCATGCTAACTTGGTCCTCTGAAAAGCACGATTGATTTAATGTCACTTTCTCTATAGGCAGCAGAGCTGTTGACAGAATCTCTCAGCTTGATTGCTACCATGAAAAAAAAAACTGAAATGATTGTAGTTACTTTAAGTCTGGACTTTTACCTCATTAATTTTTAAAGGTTTTAGGGTTGACTTTTGTCAACCCTAAAACTACCCCAATCCAGAATACATCACAGCAGCAGGTTAGAGGCTTTCCCATTTTAATTGAAGAATCTGGCTGCAGACACAGCATACCTCTGTAAGTGTGTAAGCAGTTCAAAAATCTGAAGGTGCAATCAATCAAGTGATTGTACCAGTATGATATAATATACAATACAGGCCAAAAGTTTGGAAGCAAGATCAGATTTGTACAAAAAAAGATAATAGTTTCATATATATAATTTGCAAAACAATAAACGTGACTATTCTGTAAAGAGTAACTTATCAAAAGACATTTTGACTATAATTATTAGGTATTTGAGTTATTGTTGCGTAGACTTTGCTTTCTTTAAAGTAACCTCCGCTGGCTTTAACAACAGCTTGGCATATACCAGGCATTCGTTCCACAAGTTTTTCAAGGTATGTTCCAGGGATTGCATTCCAAGCTTTCTTAAGTTCATGAAAAAGAGACTGCTGATTCGTGGCACGCGTTTTTCTGACCCATCGATCCAATTCATCCCGCACAAGCTTAATTGGAGAAAGGTCTGGAGACTGAGGGGGCCAAACCATCTTTTGAAGAACACCTTCCTCTTCTTTTTTGTCTAGGTAACCCTAACAGAGCTTGGCAGAGTGCTTAGGGTCATTGTCTTGCTGCAAAACAAACTTATGAGCCACAAGTCTGAGTCCAGATGGAACAGCATGGTGCTGTAGGATGGAGTGGTACTGTCCCCTCTTCATGATACTCTTTACTTCAAACAAATCTCCTACTCCATTACCTGCAAAACATCCCCATACCATGGAACTACCACCTCCATGCTGAATTGTGGGTGTAACACATGGTGCTTTCAGATGTTCACCAGTTTGTCTGCGGACATAGACTCTGCGTTTTGAACCAAACAGTGCAAACTTGCTTCTAGCCATCATAAGTCCAATTTTTGTGAGCTTTTGCCCACTCATATCTCTTATTCTTGTTCTGTGGACGAAGTAGTGTTTTTTGGCAGATACACAACCCTTCAGACCAGCCTTTCCCAAACATCATTTCAAGGTTGTCAGAGATATGGGTTTCGACCTTGTCATGTTAATTTCCTCCCTTAATTTTGGTGCTGTCTTTTGCCGATCTCGCTTACTGGTGACAATGCTATGTTTATTCTTTGATTTTGTAGTAACTCTCTTTCGTACAGGTCTTTTTCTATCATCAAAAACTTGAAGTTACTCCTATCTGTTCGGCCTGTAATGGCCTTGCTTCCAAACTTTTGGCCTGTACTGTATATAAGTATATACAAGTTTATGTATATAGATAAGATATTTCTTTAATCGTCTGACTGGGGGAAAATCCAAATTACAGCAGCATATAAATACCAAAAGAGAAATGAAAGGATGAAGTTAGGTCATTTTCGAATATCACCTACTGCCTACTTCTGCCAAAGGCATTATGCTAGACAGTAGTATGCAGTATGACTGCCAGTCGGCTGTTTTTGTGTAGTATGCTTGGCCCAGTTGAGCTGGTTTCCAGTACACAGAAGTAGGTACGTCAAACCCTGGTAAACTGAAAACAATGCCACAGTGTTGTCCATCCATTTACTCACTGAAAACATCTTAAATGGTTTTTAGGAATCGACCATCAAAAACGTGTTCTGTCTATGCAACAACTCGTAGATCTGGTGGCATTAGATTGTCATCACAGCACTGTAACAGTTTTAAGGATGAGAAGCAGGAAAATTTGAGATGGTGGAAATACAGACAATAAAACTGTATGGAAAAGAAACACAACATGTCGTATGTGTCTGCAGTTTGCGCAAATAATGCTGCAAGAAGAAGGAGAAGACAGGCTGTCAGTAGGAGAAATTTTCCGGCTGTCCTATTGGATAATCAATACAATGTAAGTACTAGGGCTGGGCAAAATGTTTATTATTGTAATCGATCAATCTAGCGATTAATTTTTTAAATCAATTCGATCATCAGTTTTTTCCCTATTATTTGATTTTATAGCAATTTACATAGCAATTTGCTGATTTATGTATCTCAATGAAAAAACACAAATTTCTTTATTCCAGTACATTTTTATTGCTCTTAATTACCAAATTCAAAACAAAATTCAAGTACTAAAAACAGTAGTGCAATCTGATGCCAGAGGTAGCATATAACAAAAAATAAAATGAAATAAAATACTGTCTTTTAATAAACACTATTATGCAAACAAACACAATCCAAATCAAAGAAATGTAATCAACAACAAATAAAAAAAATATAAATATCAGCATTGGTATCCTTTTTGAACCAACAAAATACAACATTTACTTGTTTTCTGCAAAAAAAATTGCTTGTACACATGAAGATGACATACACTGCCACTTTTTGCCTTTTCCTTTAAGAACACTTTGTGTGTGTGTGTGTGTGTGTGTGTGTGTGTGTGTGTGTGTGTGTGTGTGTGTGTGTGTGTGTTTAATATCAAGACATGATGTATTCATGCATTGGAGTGGAGGAATGTCAGCATTCCAACATTTAAGGGGATCATTGTCCCTTGAGATAGAGTTTTCCCCAATACAATAGTTCTTCTTTCCTCACTCCCTCATTGTCCCCATCCTCACCCTGGTCCACATCTTCATTGCCATCTTCCTCCTCAGAATCTGTGCCCAACGAAGTGTCCAACACAGACCTCCTCTTTGGTGTGGGACTTGCAGAGGCTTCCTGCCCCACAGCTGCCTGCTGTAGCTGTGATTTCTGCTCCCTTGTGAGATCAAGTGCATCATTCTGTACTCTTACTTGCAGTTTCAGAGCATTCTAAAATTGCAAGAAAAGAAAAGAATTTCACTTTGCGAAAACATGCATCAAGTGCATCAGCAATGAGTGACAAATTTTTTCCATCCTCTAGAAATGCAGATACCTCCAGCTGCCACCCTAATAAGGTTTCCTCTTCTGCACTTTTCTGGAACAAGTTCACAGCAGCAGAATCAAAAACTCTGTTTTGGGTGGATTTTTTAGGTCCAGGTACTGTTTCCCTTGCTGTGTGACTTCCGGATCTGACAGCGTCGCAACCACTGGCCATCTCTGTTCAAACAGATGTTCAACTATTCACAAAATGAGCAGTTCCATCTGACTGCTACATCCTGGTTGGTTTATGCTCAGTTGTGCCCATATGTTTTTGTTTCTGCTTTAGTTTGGTGCAAGCTGGCTCACTTTTCATGATGTGTTTCACAAGGCCCCATGCAGCTGATAGTGCTCTATCAATCCTGGAGTCTGTCATTGATTGGAAATTCTTTATTAGGAATACCCCTTGAGATCCAGGATCTCGTTTTCAAGGGGGTCCTATTGGCAGCAGTACACTATAATATGAATAAGACCAACAAGGTAAATATGAATGTCTGGGTAATACAGTGCATCAAATAATGGGTTAGATCAGCTGTGTCGACCAAATTGGACACGTGCAAGGGTGATGAGTCAGGCGCATGTACATGCATAGTTTACAACCAGCTGCAGTGTATGCCCAGCACACAAAATAAGATACCACTCAAAACTTCTCTTCAAGGATGCGCAGAGCTGTGACTATGTTACTTGCATTATCATGCACAACGTTATGCAAGGAAATGTTGAGTTTTTCTGCCACCTTCTCCACCCAGGAGGCAAGGTTTTCTGCTGTGTGGTGCTCTTTAATTGACAGTAGTTCTAGACTGAAGGAGACCAGAACCCAATTGTCATCAATGAAATAACAAGTTTCTCCAAACAGGGCCTCTGTGACCAGACTTGTCTAAGCATCAGTGGTAAGGCAGATTTGAATGTGGCCTTTATTAATTTGTTCCTTAGTTTCTCCAGTGAAGTTTCATACTGTCTCTTCATCATATGCATAAAACGGTGCCTAGAAGGCAAAGTATAATCTGGTTGAAAAGAGGTCAGCATTTCTTTGAATCCCCCCCCCCCCCCCCCCCCAACCATAGCAAGATGGATAAATACTTTATTAACCCCCACTAGGAGGAAATTCAGCTGTCATTCAGTAGCTTATGTAAGAAAGACTATAAATATATATATAAACAGTCTAAAAACACACAAATTAACCCTTCCCAAACACACATTTAAATCAACTGATCGTTATAAAAATGAATAGCAGCAGGAATAAATATTCTTTGTGGTCCTGACTCCTCCTCCTGACTGGTGAGCGTGCGCATTGCTTCATTCCCTTCCTTGCTGTTGAACTGTGTGTAGCGTTTCGTTTCCTCCTGAAAGCGCTCTCTTGCTGTTTTGGTTTATTTTCTATCTGTAATTTATCAGTACATCTGTCTGTTTAGAAAGTCTGTAAGTATTTCTGATAGTTTTCACCAAGCACCGTTTTTATCTCCACTCCGGGCGATCTCTCTGACCATTTACTTTATTAGCTCCTAGCTTAGCTTCTCTTAGCTACACTTGCTAACGATGGCTTCCCCCCGGTCGCCTGCTTCTCCTGCTCGCTTCTGCTCAGTGTGTCAGATGTTCAGTTACTCCTCGTCCTCCTTAGACGATAACGATACCTGCTTTAAGTGTAGTTTATTCTTAGCTCTGGAGACGAGGATTACAGAGTTAGAAAAGCGGCTCCGCACCGATGCTAGTGTAGCGATAGCCAGCCAGGACTCGGTAGCCGGTGCGGGTCGGCCTAGCTTAGCCTCCCCCCGGCGAATCCCGAGCAGCCGGGATGTAGTAGTGGTTGGGTCACTGTGAAAGGGAAGCATAGCAGTAGACCTAAGAAGCCCACGGTAGACCACCACATTCACACTTCAAACAAATTTGCCCCTCTCAGCAACACACCTGCTGAGCCTGACGCTCTTGTGATTGGAGACTCTGTAGTCCGAAATGTGAAATTAGCGAAGTCAGCGGCCATAGTTCAGTGTCTCCCGGGGGCCAGAGCGGGCGACATCGAAGGTAGTTTAAAACTGCTGGCAAAGGCTAAACGTAAATTCCGTAAGATTGTAATACATGTCGGCATAAATGACTCCCGACGCCGCCAGTCGGAAGTCACTAAATTGAACGTGGAATCGGTGTGTGAATATGCCAAGACCATGTCGGACTCCGTAGTTTTCTCTGGTCCCCTGCCCGATCAGACAACTGATGAGATGTGTAGCCGTATCTCATCATTCAACCGCTGGCTGTCGAGGTGGTGTCCGCAAAACGGCGTGAGCTTCATTGATAATTGGAAGTCATTTTGGGGCAAGCCTGGTCTGATTAGTCGGGACGGCATTCATCCCACCCGAGATGGAGCGGCCCGTTTATCCAGAAATCTGGCCGATTTTATTAATCCGAACCACTGACAATTCAAAGCAGAGATCAGGGAGCAGGGCCGCAGTCTTACACGCCCCCTGCGCCTCTTTTAGAGCAGCCTCCCAGCCACTACCACTTATACACAGAGACAAGGGAGCAGAGCCGCAGTGTAAAACGCCCTTCTGTACTCCCTTCAGAGCAGCTTCCAAGCTACAATCAGCTTGACTTAGAAATCAGGGAGCAGAGCCGCAGTGTAAAACGCCCCTCTGTACTCCCTTCAGAGCAGCTTCTAAGCTACTCTCAGCTTGACATAGAAATCAGGGAGCAGAGCCACAGTGTAAAACGTCCCTCTGTACTCCCTTCAGAGCAGCTTCCAAGCTTCTCTCAGCTTGACATAGAAATCAGGGAGCAGAGCCACAGTGTAAAACGTCCCTCTGTACTCCCTTCAGAGCAGCTTCCAAGCTACTCTCAGCTTGACATAGAAATCAGGGAGCATAGCCACAGCTCTACACGTTCCTCTGTACTTTTGTTAGAGCAGCCTCCTAGCTACTGTCACTTTAATATAGAGACTGTGTCTGTCCCTCGTACTCGGCTCTCAAATTCTAACCGATCAATTAAAAAAGGAGTAAATAACAAAAACCTTACTAGAATTAAGACTGTTAACATAGCTGAACCAAGTACTAGTAAGATAAAATGTGGCCTACTGAATATAAGGTCTCTAAATTCAAAATCTGTGTTAATAAATGAACTAATCTCTGATCATCGCATTGATTTACTCTCCCTAACCGAAACATGGCTGCGTAAGGATGAATATGTAAGTTTAAATGAATCCACTCCTCCTAGCCACCTAAACTTTCACATTCCTCGAGACTCCAGCCGAGGTGGTGGAGTTGCAGCTATCTACAATTCCAGTCTTAGAATTAACCCAAGACCAAAACTAGATTATAACTCTTTTGAAAGTCTCGTTCTCAGTCTCCCGCACCCAGCCTCAAAGTCCATGAGACCACTGGTATTTGCTATAGTTTACCGCCCTCCGAGCCCATACTCTGAGTTTTTGTCAGAGTTCTCAGAGTTCCTATCCGAATTAGTCCTTCTCGCAGATAAAGTCATCGTCGTCGGTGACTTTAATATTCACATAGATGTGGAAAATGATAGCCTAAGCATTTCTTTTCGGTCCTTGCTAGATTCAATTGGGTTTACACAGTGTGTACATAGACCTACGCACTGCTTTAACCACACTCTCGATCTCGTCCTGGCTTATGGCCTCGAAACTGATGCCCTGTTAGTCAGCTCATTAAATCCTCTATTATCTGATCACTGTCTAGTAACTTTTGAATTTGTGCTCTCAGGTTACTCTCCTCACAACAAAGTCGTGCTAACTAGAAGGTTGTCTGAAAATGCTGTGACTAAGTTCAAGGAGGTAATTCCGTCTGCTCTAAATTCTGTAGTTGAGAAAAACTTTACTGATAGCTCATATTTAAACATCAGTCCCTTGCAACTCGACCAGTTTGTTGATGATACCTCAGGCACACTGCGATCAGTTCTAGACTCAGTTGCCCCTCTTCGACAGAAAACTATTACACGCGAGAGGCTAGCCCCGTGGTATAATGCTGAAACCCGTGAGCTGAAACAGTTATTAAGAAAATGTGAAAGGATTTGGCGCTCCTCCAAAACAGCTGAAGCTCGTTTTCTCTGGCAGGAATGTCTCGATAAATATAAGAAAGCCCTACGACGTGCTCGGACAACCTACTACTCGTCTCTTATTGAGGAAAATAAGAATTACCCCAGATATCTCTTCAGCACTGTAGCCAGGCTGACAGACTGTCCGAGCACCACTGAACCATGTATCCCATTAGCCCTTAGCAGCAATGACTTCCTGAGCTTCTTCAATGATAAAATCTTAAAAATAAGAGGTAAAATTAGTAACCTATTGACTCCACCAAGTGTCTCTCTCTCAGATAACCCTAAAAATGTTGAGGAGCCCCTAAGGCCTATGGTGCACCTTAGTAATTTTGTACCTATTGACCTTCCTGAGTTAAAATCAGTGGTGCTAGCAGCCAAACCATCGACGTGTCTCTTAGACCCAATTCCATCTAAATTGCTGAAGGAAACTCTTCCTTTGATTAGTACGTCCCTGCTCAAAATGATTAACACGTCTTTATTAACAGGATATGTTCCCCAGTCTTTCAAGACTGCATTGATTAAGCCTCTCCTTAAAAAACCTACTCTAGACTCAAGCTCCCTAGCTAACTATAGACCAATATCCAACCTTCCTTTTATTTCTAAAATCCTAGAGAAAGTTGTTGCGAATCAACTCTGTGATTTTCTCCATAACAATGGTTTATTAGAGGATTTCCAGTCTGGGTTTAGAACCCATCACAGCACAGAGACTGCTCTGCTAAAGGTGTCAAATGACCTACTCATGGCCTCAGACAATGGTTTTCTCTCTGTTCTAGTCCTGTTAGATCTTAGTGCAGCATTTGACACAATTGACCACTCCATCCTGCTTCAGAGACTAGAACAATCTATAGGCATAGCAGGATCAGCTCTCTCCTGGTTTAAATCGTACCTAACAGATCGATCCCAGTTTGTCAATGTAAATAATAAATCCTCTGCACACACCAAAGTGTGCTACGGTGTGCCGCAAGGGTCAGTGCTCGGTCCAATCCTCTTCACCCTGTATATGATTCCGCTGGGTAAAATTATGAGGAAGTATTCGATTAATTTCCACTGTTATGCAGATGACACCCAGCTATACCTATCCATAAAGCCAGAGGAAGCAGGCCAGGTTGCTAGGTTAGAAGCCTGCCTCAAAGATATAAAATCCTGGATGACCAATAACTTTCTAATGCTCAACTCAGACAAAACTGAAGTTCTGGTCCTCGGTCCTAAACACCTTAGAGAGGCGTTCTCTAGTAATTTAGCTACATTTGATGGTATCAGCCTGGCATCCAACCCCACTGTGCGTAATCTAGGAGTTGTATTTGATCAGGATTTATCTTTTAGCTCCCACATTCAACAAATTTCTAGGACAGCCTTTTTCCACCTGCGCAATATCTCAAAAATTAGACGCATATTGTCTCAGAGCGATGCAGAAAAACTAGTCCATGCCTTTGTTACCTCTAGGCTGGATTACTGTAATTCTCTCCTATCAGGCTGCTCTAGTAAGTCATTAAGGACTCTTCAGCTGGTCCAAAATGCAGCAGCTCGGGTATTGACTAGAACTAGTAGAAGGGAGCACATCTCCCCTGTTTTAGCCTCTCTTCACTGGCTCCCTATTAAATATAGAATTGAGTTTAAAATCCTCCTTGTGACATATAAAGCGCTTAATGGCCAGGCGCCATCATATCTCGACGAGCTAGTTATACCGTACTTTCCATCTAGACCGTTACGCTCACAGTCTGCAGGTCTGCTCGTTGTACCAAATGTCTCTAAAAGTAGTGTTGGAGGAAGAGCTTTCAGCTACCAGGCACCTCTCCTCTGGAATCATTTACCGCTCGAGGTTCGGGGGGCAGACACACTCTCAACTTTCAAGAGTAGACTTAAAACGTTCCTCTTTGATAAAGCCTATAGTCAGGGCTGATTTGAACCAGCTCTTAGTTATGCTGCTATAGGCCTAGACTGCCGGGGCTATCTGGCACACTGAGCTAGAATCTGTCTCTATCTCCTCTTTAGATCTTTATGTCCCATATAAGTCACTGACCAGTTTTCTGTCTCTCTGAGTGTCTCTGAGTCTTTTAGCTGCCACTGGACTAATGCTGCAAACGGTCTGCTGCGGAACTGCCTGACCCCAGCTGCATCCATCCTGGGCCCTGAGCTCCTCCATCTCTTTGGCTCTTTGGCTTCTCTGGACCGTTGCTGCAGAGACCCCCCCCCCCCCGGCCCTGAGCTCCTTCTTCTCTCTGATTCCTCTGGACTGTTACTGTTACTGCAGACATGAACATCAGCCTCACTGTCATTATTGACATACAAAATAGAACTGACTACGATTAAGCCTGCTAACTGTAATCACACTCAATTAATTCAACATTGTCCATTATTTCTCATATCCTAAACCTGTAAACTGAACGTCCTTTTGTTTCACCATTACATGAGCTGTTGTCGTTGTTGCTGTTGTTCCTGCTGCCTCCTGTCTCTCTCTCACCCTCGTTCCCTACTCTCTCTCCCTCCCCCTCCCTCTCCGTACTAATTCTCTCTCGCCTTTCCCCTATCTTGCTGTCTCTCTCCCTCCCCCTGTCCTCTCCCCCTCTCCCCTCTTCTCTCTACATTCCTCCCCAACCCAGCAGCGGCATGGTGGCTGTCTAGCATGAGTCTGGTCCTGCCCAAGGTTTCTGCCTGTTAAAAGGAAGTTTTTCCTTGCCACTGCTACTCATGTTAGTTGAGATGGGCCAAAACCCATCTTAGGTTGGTTCTTGATCATCAAACAATGAGCGTGGTCTCGACCTGCTCTTGTTCTTTGGAAAGCGTCTTGAGATGACGACTGTTGTGAATTGGCGCTATATAAATAAAATTTGATTGAAATTTGATTGATTTGATTGAATAAAGGATCTCCTAAAGCACTCTGTCCGCCCAGAGGAGCAACAGATCTGAGCATCTCCTCTCCATACAGTGTAGGACAGAGTCCCGTGCAGAGGGTGTCTGGTGTTACTAAGGATAGCATTCACCTTTCTCCTCATACCTGGCGTCCAGTGACCCCCTGATCACTGACCTCGCCCTCTTAACCAGCTAGACACCCCATCCACTCCGGGTGGAAGATCCGGCGTAAAAGAACCACATCCTTTTCTACCAAGCAGTTTTGTTGGCGCAAAAGGGCTAGAGTTGTCTTTGGAAGCTGCTGCCAATGAGTCCAAGTAGGTTAGGCTTTCTGTTGCAAGAATTGCAGCACAGTCTTTAAGACGGGATCTTCCTCCTGCAGGGAGCGGATGTCAGCCACAGAGTGGGAGGGAAAGGCTGAGATGTGAAAGAAGTGACGTGCCTGGCAGGTCATGGCATGCAATGCTGGCACATAGTGTCAGGAAAGTGCATCCACATTCTTGTTGCTGTGGCCAGAGTGATACTTGACATCAAAGTTAAAAGCGGCCAGTTTGGCAGCCCATCAATGTTCAGTGGCCTCCAGTTTTGCAGACTTCAGGTAGCTCAATGGGTTGTTGTCAGTGTAAACAATGCACGTGTGCCTGAACAGGTACTTGCAGAACTTATCCATCATGGCCCACAGCTTCATTGAACTGTAGCTGGACATGTTCCGCTCGAAGGGCCGAAGACCCCTGTTGGTGTAGGCCACTGGCATCACTCCACTATCGGTGTCCTGCGAGAAGACAGTCCCAAGGCCACTGTGACTGATGTCAACCTCCAAGATAAAAGGGTGTGAGAAGTCAGCATAGATAAGGATGGGTGAGCTGTCTTCATATGGAACTGTCCAGGCAGCCCCTAATGCTTTTTCATTGACTTGGTGCTGGCTAATTCAGCCACCAATTGGTGCAGAGGGGCTGCCAGCTTGGCAAAGCCCTCTACAAAGCGCCGATAGTAGCTTACGAAACCCAAGAATGAGCGCAGCTCGGACACATGACTGGTACATCGCCAGTTAGCCACTGCCCCAATCTTCTTGGGATCAGCAGACACCCTGGCTCGAAATCACATGCCCCAGATAGCCAACCACCTGTTTGAAAAATGCACTTTTTTCAAGCTTCACCTTCAGGCCCTCCTGGCTGAGCCAACCAAGCACTATTTCCAGGCGCTGCAGATGTTGCTCCACAGAGGATGAGTAGAAGACAATGTTGTCAAGGCAGAGCAGCAAAGACTGGCATTGCTGGTCACCAAACATCCTCTGAATCAGCAGCTGGAAGGTGCTTGGGGCATTACACAAACCAAATGGCATGCAGTTGAATTCAAATTGGCCATAGAGTGTACAGAAGGTAGTTTTGGGGTGGTCTTGTTCGGACACCGGCGCCTGGTTGTAGCCGCTGGCCAGATCAAGTGTGGAGAACCAGTGGGCCCCCGAAAGAATATCCAAACTCTCCTCAATACAAGGCAAGGGAAAAGCGTCCTGATCTTACTATTTAAGAGGTAATCTACACACAAATGCAAACTGCCATCCTTCTTCCACACCAGAATAATAAGTGATGCATAGGGGCTACTGCTTTCCATGATTACCTCAGACTCCAAAAGCTGGTCAATGTGGGTTTTGACTGCTTCATATTCTGGGGGGGGGGGGGGGGGGGGGGTGCACTGATCCCTCTGCCTGACTGGCACATCATCAAGCAGAGGGATGTCATGCGAGATGAAACGAGTACCGCCCAAGTCACCATCATGGGCTGAGAACAGCAAGGTACTTGTGCAACATTTTTTTTTACACCTGCCTGCCTCTGCTAAATTACCGCTGATGGATCAAGTGACCCCATCTTATCTCACACCAAAGGGGTAACTGTCTGGGGAGAAACAGTAGCCACAGGGGGCTCCTCTGTCACACCAGCAGGCAGACTGACAACCTGGGTGACTGCTAGAATAGAATAGAATAGTATAGAATAGAATAGAATAGAATTGAATAGAATATTCCTTTATTGATCCCCAATGGGGGACATTTTTTTTTGTCACAGCAGCATCACAGACAAAAATAGTGCAAAAATGCAGTTATGAGAATAGAGATCCTTATATTAAGAACTTAAATAAATGTTATAATTTAGAAAAGGAAAAAGGGAGAAGAAAGTAAAACTATTTACCATATACACAATTTAAATGCCAGAAAAAAAGTGGTGGTGTGAATCCAGTTTTATTACAGTTTGTTGTAAAGTCTAATTGCAGAAGGGAGGAATGACCTGCAGCAGCGCTCTGTCTTGCAAGGTGGGAGTCTTAGTCTGCTGCTGAAGGAGCTGCTTAAAGCCCCCACAGTCTGGTGCAGTGGGTGAGAGGGATTGTCCATGATGGATACAAGCTTTGTTAACATCCTCCTCTCACCCACCTCCTCCAGGGAGTCCAAGGAACAGTACAGGACAGAACTGGCCCTCCTGACCAGTCTGTTCAGTCTCTTCCTGTCCCTCTCAGTGCTCCCTGCCCCCCAGCAAACCACTGCATAGAAAAGTGCAGATACTACCACAGAGTCATAGAAAGTCCTGAGCAGAGTCCTGCACACTCCAAAGGACCTCAGTCTCCTCAGCAGGTGGAGACAACTTTGGCCCTTCTTGTACAGGAAGTCTGTGTTGGTTGACCAGTCCAGTTTATTGTTGAGGTGGACACCCAGGAATCTGTAGGACTCCACCATCTCGATGTCCAGACTCTGGATGTTCACTGGAACAGTCTGATGTGTCCTCCTCCTGCGGAAATCCACAACCATCTCCTTTGTCTTACTGGCGTTTAGCTGGAGGTGGTTTGTGCCACACCAGTTGACAACGTCAGTGATGACAGTCCTGTATTCATGCTCATCCCCTGACGATTCGGCTGTTAAGTGTGACGTCATTTTGTGAGCTGAGCGACTTCCGGGTCCATGGGGAATCGGCCTCCATTCACTCTCCATTCAAAACAACAATGGCGGAACCCGTGAATCCCTTTACAATAACCTCCTTTTACAGAAAGGAACTACTCAGAGTTAAATAGGGACTTAACGCTTTCAACTATTATTATTATAAACCTACATTTTCTCCCAGGGGGCATTAATAAAGGTAAAATCCAAGCGTCCATGAAAAAGAAAATATACCAGGCTGAGGTGAGTGAGCTGATAGGGTTAGCATTAGCTAGGTAATGTTAGGCATTCTGGCTTTTAATGTTATATGCCACGTTATTTGGCGTTTCATAAGTAATGACATAATCAGCCTGGCATAATACCTATGGTGACTGATATAATGTCTTTACAGAAAGGGTTGTAGTAGTAAATACAGATGTGGGTAATGATGCTGTTTACCCTCCACTACACGCTGATTACAGCTTTGCTGAGTAGAGAAAACATAAAGAAAGCACATATATTGATCCTTAAGGCAGATGGTACTTTTGTAGTCGGTTGACTGAATTAAAAATAGAAATATATGTCTAGTATGTAACAGTAGTTTCGATAACACCGAGGGTAGCTAGTCTGCAGACTCTGAACAAGGGTTAGCGCTAAACTTCGATTTTCTATGTATTTCTTGAATGGCAACTTACCTAATTAACTGCAGCCATCTCTTCTTGTCTTTGTTGTTGGGAGGAAATCTGTAGAATGATAGTTTAGTCGCTGTTTTTGTCTCTGATCTGTTTAAGCAGCAAGGGACACAGCACTGAGGCATTATCACAACAACTCCACTGGACCCGGAAGTGGAAGAGGAGACCGCGGCTACGTCACGGCTTAACAGCCGGATACACATCCGACGATTGCTGTATCATCTAAGAACTTCTGAACGTGACATCTCCCAGAGTTGTAGCTGAAGTCCGAGGTGTACAGGGTGAAGAGGAAGCGCTAAACTTCGATTTTCTATGTATTTTCTATGTTCTTCTTGAATGGCAACTTACCTTATTAACTGCAGCCATCTCTTCTTGTCTTTGTTGTTGGGAGGAAATCTGTAGAATGATAGTTCAGTCGCTGTTTTTGTCTCTGATCTGTTTAAGCAGCAAGGGACACAGCACTGAGGCATTATCACAACAACTCCGCTGGACCCGGAAGTGGAAGAGGAGAACGCGGCTACGTCACGGCTTAACAGCCGGATACACATCCGACAATTGCTGTATCATCAGAGAACTTCTGAACGTGACATCTCCCAGAGTTGTAGCTGAAGTCCGAGGTGTACAGGGTGAAGAGGAAGGGGGAGAGCACTGTCCCCTGTGGAGCCCCCGTGCTGCAGACCACCATGTCCGACACACAGTTCTGAAGCCTCACAAACTGTGGTCTGTCGGTGAGGTAGTCCACGGTCCATGCGGCTAGGTGACAGTCCACTCCCACCTTCTCAAGCTTCCCCCTGAGTAGTGAAGGCTGGATGGTGTTGAAAGCACTGGATAAGTCAAAAAACATGACCCTCACAGTGCTGCCGGTGTTCTCCAGGTGAGCCATGGACCTCTGCAGTTTGTGTACCAGCCGAACATTGGGGTGGACAATGCAGTCATCTACCTGCTGCAGAGGATCCCGATGAGAGCTCACCAGGAGGCGGAGGTTCTTCAGCACGATCCTCTCCAGAGTCCCCATCAGGTGAGAAGTGAGGGCCACAGGTCTGAAGTGGTTGGGCTCCCTGGGGTGTGCTGTCTTGGGGACAGGAATCACGCAGGAAGTCTTCCACAGTGCTGGGACCCTCTCCAGACTCAGGCTTAAGCTGAAGATGTGCAGTAGCACCTCACAGAGCTGGTCTGCACAGTCCTTTAGGAGTCTGGAGCTGATGCCGTCAGGACCCGTGGCTTTCCTTGGCTTCATCTTCCTCAGTTCACTTCTCCCCTGGTCAGCTGCTATGGAGAGGCTGGGGGTGGTGCTGGAGGGGGTGGCGGCGGATGAGTGGAGGGGGGTGATGATGCCAGTGCCCTAGAACTGAGGTGGTGTGAAGAAGAAGCAGACGGGTCGTTGGTTTGATGAGTCGGGGGAGGAGTGGG